AAAGTCATGCAATTTGGTGATGTGCGCACAGCAAACGAAACCGAACAGGCCAACCTGTTTGCAAACTTCTTCAGTAGCAACTACGATGACTCAACGACTCAAGGCGTTCAACAATCGCCTACCGATGAGTCACACCAAACTGAGGAATTCCAGCTCGACATCAATTTCGTGCTTGAAGAGCTGCAAGCCGTGAACACAAAGAAAGGTACGGGTCCCAACGGTATGCACCCGTTGTGTTGCTATTGCTAACATTAAGAGTTGATTAAAATCACGTCAAATTTGTGTGAGCGATCAAAATGAACTGAATTTTATTAAGTTGTTAATTTTGAACAGTTATTCCAAAAATGCTTAATTGCTAGATATGGTTCGTTGCCTTTAATTTCGAATATTGAACCTTGTTTTTTTTGATGAAAAATGCTGAAATGCCAATTGATTGGAATTTATATGAATTTAAACAAATGCCAATTTGATTGGACTTTGTATGAACAATATGCTGAATTTAACAATATGTTCTTGAACATTCTCCCGGGCCAAACTTTGATATAAACAAACAAATTTAATAACAATTTAGAATTTTAAACAATATTTTGATTTACAATGAGAAAAAAAAATAGTATTGATTTCGTGATTAAAATTTCATTCATCCGATTTAAACGAAAATGTCATATTGGAAGAATCTTATTTAATGTTATTTTTCCCATGGCATTATGATCGATACGTTGTTTTTAGCACGATGTTCTACGGATGTGTGTCTCATTCCTCGGGGTACTAGTGCCTGTCCGTTTTTTGTATCGTGAAATTTGATTTCCCTTTTATCTACAATCGTAGCTTCGGCTGTTGTGCTGGTTGATTGTATTTGTTGCCTACAGTGGTTCTCGGATTTTACTGAACGTAAGCGCTTTTTTGAATGTAGTTGGTTTACGCAGTGCATACAACCGCATTTTTCCAGACGTTTCAATGTTTTTTTGTTTTTGTTGCGTTTGTGCGATCTCCACCAGTTCATGACGATGTGGATGATCATGTTCGTACAAATATTCAATGCTATGTAAATTTTGAGCGTTGTTTTTACTTCTGACACGCTATCGTCGATTCCTTCGATACTTGTGATTGTATCGTTCGTCAATTTTGTTATTCTTTCTTGCATTTGCCTGTCTTCGGCTTCCAGTTTGTCAACGTATTGTCCGGCTATCCAAAACCCAGAACTAGGTAATGGAGCTGCATTTGCCGCTGGACAATACATTGAAATGGCCATTACGAAAATTAACATAGCCGACGTTGCGAGTTTTCGTATTTGTTTTGAGAATATGAGTACACATGCGATGAATGTTAAACACATGCATACTCCGATGATCGTTGTCGTTGTTGTTTCAATGGATTTTGCGGACGTAGTTGCATTTACTGGCGTTATTGTCATTGCGGTGGTCAGTAATGCCGTAATTGAAGATGTACCCATATTTTGAGTACGGTTGGTAGATTTTTTTAAATCATTTTCAATCGTTAATGAGTTTGGTATTTCGTTGGCATCGTCGATCGGAAGTGGAGCCAACTTTGTTAATGGACGTGTCAAAGTATTGTGCGATGTTTTTATCGTTGCCACTCTTATCAGTCCGTCTTGGCCTGGATGTACTTTAATGACTCGGCCCATGGGCCATTGGCCCACGGGTGATGACTGATCGTTTAAAAGCACAATGTCGTTTTCTTTTATGGCGTTTTTAATCGTTTGCCATTTTTTTCGTTGCTGCAGCGTATGTAAATACTCACACTGCCATCTTTCCCAGAACTCACGTACCGTTTGTTGTACCCTTTTCCAGCGGTCGAGATAACTGATCTTGCATTCATCCAAGTTTTCGCTGGCGATTGCTGTTGGGTGTGAGTTTATAAGGAAGTGTGCAGGCGTCAACACTTGGATGTCGTTTACATCACACGAAATTGGAGTCAGAGGTCTTGAATTAACTGCCGACTCAATTTGCGCTAGAATCGTCGTTAACTCTTCGAATGTGAATTTTTGTTCTCCCATCACTTTCATTAGATGCATTTTTACTGTTTTTACGCCAGCTTCTACCAGGCCATTGAAATGTGGTGCGCCCGGTGGTGAGAATTTCCATGTTATTCTCTGTGTTGACAATTCGTTTGAAATTCGCGTGTTGAATTCCTCATTTTCGTTGTTACTTAATTCGTTTAATAATCGATTTGCAGCCACAAAATTGGTTCCATTGTCGCTGAATATCACTTTTACTTCACCCCGTCTCGCGATAAAACGTCGTAGTGCAGCAATAAATGCGTCAGCTGACATGTCACTGACCAACTCAACGTGCAACGCTTTCGTTGACATACATACAAAAATGCAAATGTACGCCTTTACTACTCTTGCATTTCGGAATTTCGATGTTTTGATGAAAATTGCTCCCGTAAAGTCAACCATTGTGTTTGTAAATGGCTTGCTTACGACTGTTGTTCTAACCGCAGGTAAATTTGCCATTTTTTGTTGCATTGTTTTTGGGTTGTGTCTACGGCATGTGACACACCCGTTGAGTTGTTTTTTTACCGCCGAAAGACCGTTGACTATCCAATATTTCTGTCGGATAAGTGATTCGGTCAACCTTGGGCCAGCGTGAAAATTATTTTTGTGCATATCACGAATGATTAAAATTGAGATTCCACTTTTTTTTGGAATTAAAATCGGGTGTCTGGTGTTAAATGGTATGTCGTAGTTTTTTATTCTACCACCCACGCGTAACAGACCATTCGTATCGATGAACACATTCAACTTTAGAAGTTCACTGGTTTTTTCAATTTTTTTGTTTTTATTTAATTTTTCAATTTCATTTTCATAATACACATGCTGTACGATTCGAATGATTTTCGTTTCGGCTTGCTCTAGCTCGGTCGTTGTAATCGGAGTACCTTTTTCATATTTTTTTACATTCATTTTTCGTGTGTAACAAATAAACCTATTCACATAAGCGAACACTCTTATCATTTTGTTCCACGAAGATACTAATGGTAAATTGTCGTCGATAAAACACCTTTTATCACTTTGAACAAGCAATACATTCAGTTTTTGTTCTTTCGATGTTTCAAAATTTAAGTCGTCGTTGTAAATAATATCGGTGTTTTCGTGTAATATTGCTGGGCCGAACCACCAAAGTGGATGATTAGCCAGTTCGTCACCAAAAATTCCACGCGATGCGCAGTCTGCTGGATTTTGTTTCCCGGCGATATGATGCCACTCGACGTTTTTCAGTTTGTTGATACGTTTGATTCGATTGGCGACAAATTTTTTATACTTTTGTGGATTAGATTTAATCCACGCCAAGGCCACCTTTGAATCACTCCATAAAATTGTTGCGTTGATGTTAAAACTCATTCTCGTTCGCGTAGCTTTCACTAAATTCGTTAACAATTCCGCTCCGCACAATTCTAATTTTGGAATTGTTTACTCGTTGATGGGTGCCAGTTTTGTTTTTGCTGCTATCAGCACCACTCGAATCGATTCTTCACTTGCGAATCGAATGTAGACGTTGGCCGAAATTGCTTTTGCACACGCATCAGAAAATCCATGCAATTCCACCTTCATTTTTGTTGCTGTGCCGAGCCACCGTGGTATCACAATTGAATTTACTACGCTCAATCGCGATTTGTAGCTCATCCATTCATTCACAATTTCGATCGGTAAATCATCATCCCAAGCGTATGGTTTATTATTTTCGTGTTTTAGCTTCCACACATTTTGAAGCAAAATTTTCGCTTTGACGATGACCGGTGCGATCCATCCTAACGGATCGTATTGCACTGTTGCTATTTCTGAAGCTAGTTGTCGTTTCGTTCGTGGCCGTTCGTGTATATTTAATTTGATGTTGAATACAAATTCATCATTTTTCGGGTTCCATGGAATTCCAAGCACTTTGACAATGCTTACATTTTGCTCTTTGTCGCACTCAGGGATAGCTTCAAGTAATTCAGGCGAATTACTGACGATTTTCCTCAGATTGAAGCCGTACTCATCAAATGCCTGCTTCATTTCACGTAGAATGGACAATGCTTCATCAACCGTCTCGGCCCCACCCGAATAGTCGTCAACATAAAAGCATTTCAAAATTGCCTTCGCTGCTCGTGGGTATTTTTCCTTGACCCTTTGAGCAATTTCGTGTAAAGATCTAATGGCAAGATATGGAGCATCCTTCAAACCAAATGTTACTGTCGTCATTTTGTAACTTTTTATCGGCTCGTCGCAAGATTCTCGCCATAGGATCATTTGTAAATGTTGTTGGTTTTCGTTTAAGCGAATTTGCTTGTACATCTTTTCTAAATCTGCTATGACAGCGATTTTTGGCTCTCTCCATCGCATGATCAATTCAAAGATTGAAGATTGATCGATTTTTCCCACAACCAATTGCTCGTTCAAAGATTTTCCATTTGCCGTTTTGTTCGAGGCATTGTACACCTGTCTTAGCTTGGTTGTGGTACTATTTTTAAACACTGCGTGGTGGGGAATGTAGTGGCTGTCGATTGGTGGATTTTTTTCCAGCACTAAATGTCCCAACTCAATGGATTCATTGATAGTTGCAACGTATTGTTTGTGAAATTCTGGATTTTTCGCGAATTTTTTCTCCAATTGGAATAAAGTTGCTAACGCTATCTTACGTGAATCACCGAGACATGGTCCGTTTTCAGTTGTAAATGCCATTGAAACATTTAATCTGCCGTCGTCGTCTCTTTTTGTTGTTTTTACGTAATACTCTTCACGACAACGCTCTTCATCGCTCGGTTCTGTTTCACTTTCATCACTATTGACGCATTCAAGATCTTCAGATAAGAAAAAATTCGAAATTTCTCGTTCAATTTCTATATTTGAAATCAATGATGTAATTTTTATTGGAGTGTTGCGTGCTTCATTTTTTTCTGGGCCCATTATCAACCAGCCCAATTCACTATTTACTGCAATCGGAGCATCGATCGGCCCCTTGATTAGGCCGTTTTTTATAATTGCTGTAAATGCCGCGACATCCAACAGCAAATCGATTTCATTTTCGTCGTTGATCGTTGGATCTGCATACAAAAGATTTTGAAGGTAATCATAACGCTTCAAATCGTCTTTAAAATATGATAGGTTTGTAATTTTTTTCATAACAAGCGCTTCGGTTTCGAGTTCGTAATCATCAGAAAAATGTGGTCGCAGTGTAAGGTTTGTCATTTTACCAGCGGTCGACTTACGTCCCTCTACACCCTGCACTTCAGCATTCACACTGTCTGAGTCAAGACCCAATTTTTGGAATGCATTTTCAGTTATTAAAGCACCCTGTGAGGCACCATCGATTACCGATTTTAATAGCACTTTTTCGCCGTTTTTTGATAGTACATTCACAAATGCCGTTGCTAACAATTTATTTGTATTTTTTGTCGTTGTCAATACTTGAACTTGCGATGTTTCGTTACTTTTGCTGCTCGTTGCTTCATTAATAGTGGTCGTCGTGAGCAGTGTCGTTTTCTTTTCGTTTGCTTCTTTTTTTGTTTCGAAATGCAGCAAGGTGTTATGTTTCTTGCCGCATGTTTTGCACGTATTGAATTTAGCTTTGCATTCACCGTCATGCTTTTGAATGCAAATAACACACACTTTTTCGGATTTTGCCCATTCACTTCGTTCTTTCACTGATTTATTTTTAAATTCAAAACATTTGTAGACAGAATGAGGCTTATCACAAAATGTACACTTGAATGCCGTTGGTGAATCGTCGATTTTTTTGATTTTTTTTTCAAAATTTTCATTTTTTTTGTCATATTTTTCATGTCCACCTTCAGCTGATAGCAATGCCATGAAGCGATGCTCGATGTAATTTAAGAAGTCGGATAATTGTTGTAGCTCGCGAATATCGACCAATTTGGATTCGTAGTCGATTAAAGTTGTTTTGCTTAACTTTTTCTTTAGAATGTGAATGACGAGCGGATCCCAATTTTCAGTATTCACATCGAAATTACGGATCGCCATCATGCACTCGTACGTTACATCGTAAATGTTGCGTAGGCTGCTGCTCGTTTCAACTGTTTGGTTTGGCAATTCAAGAATTTTATCAATCAACTTGCCAACATTTTCTCTTTTATTGCCATATCGTCGTTCCAAAACATTGTACACGTCTTGATAATTTGATTCTTCTGGTGTCAAATACTTGATTTTTTTCAATGTTTCTCCTTTTAAACAAGACTTTAAATACTGCACTTTTAATGCGTCCGAAATCGAATTGTTGTCGTGAATTATTTTTCCAAAAAGGTCTTTGAACTCGCGCCAGTCATCTTTTTCACCGTTAAACTCTGGTAGCTTTATTTTTGGTAATTCAACGTTTGATTTTTGATTCGATTTTTCTTTCACATCATTTAATTTTCCGCACAATTTCATAAATTTTTCTTGCATTTCGTGGAATGGAATTTCGTTGCACCAAACTCTTTCTGCTGACACCTTTACTTGTCTGTACGTAGCTCTTAATTCAGCCCAAACCGTCTTCAACTGCTCTAACTGGGCGTTGGCTTCACCTTGAGTCGATGGTTCGTTTTTTTGTATCATTTTTACCACATCGTATAATTCTTTCGTTTGGTATCTCAATACTGCTACCGTCGGTGGAACCTCCTCTTGAGACTCGATGTCCAGTTGATCTTCGATCGTTTCTTCATCATCGCTATCCAAAAATTCGACGATATGAATTTTTTTGGGATTTTCGTTCTCACGCGGTGATGGAATCGGAGCGCCCGCTTTGGATGTCGAAGCGCCGGTCGTGGATGATTTTTTCGTTTTTGTTTGTTTTGCTTTAAATGTTTCCAAGTCCTTTGTTATTGTATCATGCATTTCGTCGCACTTGGTAAAAGCCTTTTCATGATGATTCTTAGCGAAATATGCATTTTCCTTATCCGCTTCGTTCGCAATCAAGTCGTTATGAGCTTTCTCAAACGTGTTTCTCCATTCAGCCAACAATTGCAAACGCCGTTCAAAATACTCGACTTTATTCTTTCTGTCTTTGCCATCTTTTGTGTAATTAACACAAAAGTCTTTCAACTTTTCCAATCTAATTTTTTGATCGGCAAGCTCCCCACTGATCTGTGTTTCGTCTTCGTCGCCAGAGCCTGAATTAGGCATTTTTCAAATGTATTTTTTTTGAAATCGTAAGGGAGAAAAAAACACTTTTCAAATTTTATCGTTTCGTTGTAACTTTTGTTCGTAAATCGTGGTTTAATTCAAATTTTCGTCGTAGTTTCGTTGTATTCTTTTTAAGTCGAAGGACCAAATGTTGCTATTGCTAACATTAAGAGTTGATTAAAATCACGTCAAATTTGTGTGAGCGATCAAAATGAACTGAATTTTATTAAGTTGTTAATTTTGAACAGTTATTCCAAAAATGCTTAATTGCTAGATATGGTTCGTTGCCTTTAATTTCG